AAAAAAATCGGTTGTCTGTAAAGTCGGTTTACTGACGATAGTTGAACGTGACAACGTCATAAGAAAATACTGATGGAATGGTTTCATTTTTCAAAAGAAAATTTTAATTTTATTTGTTTGATAGATATTTTGTATGGATATAGAGAAGGAGGTAAATGGAAATGTATTATTATATAGCAGCTGTCCACGCGGACGCATCGCTCACTCGAGTAGGAGAGAGACAGATGTCGAACGCTGCCGAACGCGGAGACTGATTGTGCCTCTTTGTCGCTCTAGCTTGCACTTCAAGCGTTAAATGGAACGCCTCAGAGCGAGGTAACGCCGCATGAGCCATGTTTTTTCGTGCGTGCAGCCTCCATCGAATTATAAGACGTTGTCACGTCAAAAGGATGTTTTAAATTTAAAAAATTAAAGTCAAATCAAATAATCAGTTTTAGAATTACGTAATGAAGCTAATGTTGTATTTTATTGGAAAAAATAAATTAATTTTTATGTAGATAGGTGAATTCTTTTGTATTTTCGATAAAACTTACCTCAAAAAGATCTGCTTTATAGGCAGGCCATCGACAAATAGTTATTGACGGATAAAGCATCGTTTCGTTCATGTTGATCATTTGATGGGTGAACAGAGGTGGTTTGATAAGTTTTTGAAAAAAATCTGAAAGCTAACGAAAAAACAAATAGTGTTCAGTGCCTACTTGTTTGTATTTGTAAAGAAAATGTATTCCTTTTAATTTAAAAATTACCGAAGCTTGAATAAAAATGTCACTAGTGAAAGAAAATTAGATAAAATAATTAAAAAGACGTAACCTAGATACTCATATTATAGTGAAAAATACAATGTAGGAATTGGATATGTCTTATACGAGATGAAATTTGCTGAATTCTCAGCTGTTTAATGCATGGAAAACTAGGTTGACGTATTTTTTCATTACAAAGACATCATTGCCTCAACAATATGGTTGAATTATTAATATTGTTTCCATTTGTGTTATGTTACTGAAAGAAAATTATCATAGCCTCGTTAGTCCAAACTTTGGATTCTTCCCTACTCTGAGATAATTTTTACATTTCCCGAAAAATAGAGCATCCTCACATTTTCGAACACTGTTCTAATGTAGATCTATTGAAAGTAAATTCATTATCATAGCGTCGTCAGTCCGAAGTCTGAATTATTTCGCATCCTGAGATAATTTTCGCTTTTTCCAAAAAATAAAGCATCTTCACATTTTTGAACACTGAGCTAATGAATGTCTACTGAAAGCAAATTCATCATCATTGCTTACAGGTCTACTTCTGACCCTTTTAAGTCATGTTCCTGCTTGTAGTACATCTCTAAACTAACGCTTTATGTCTTAGAAGGTGTCGTGTATTATCCTGTCTGTCCTTTTCCTTATTGACTTCCATAACGTTATTTGCCCTACTACTCTTATTAACATTCGTCACTCCACGCAATCTTCAATAGCGCTTCCATTTTATTTAAGCATGTTTGGGGGGTACAATCGGAGACAAGAGTACATAAAATTAGAAATTCGTGATTAATTAGGTTTTGCAGCATATCATGATGTAAATAAATACTATCTATACTAAAAAAAAAAGTATATGGTTTGAGAGAAAATTTAGAATTTGACCAAAAACTTTGAATAAAATAAGAAATAACGAATAATATGGAAAATTTTTAACTGACTTTTGGCAGTGAATATGCCTTGATTTCAACTTCGAAACAAAAAAATATTTAGTTTCAATCTCTATTAATAATGAGCGTAAAACTTTTTAATATGTTTAAATAATAATTAAAACTTTAAAATTGCATTTATTTCAGACAATTATAAATATTATCATTATATTATCAAGTAAAAACGAGATTTTCAGCTAATTTTTCATTTTTTCCTCGATAACCATTTAGTGAATTTGAATAACCTTACGCTAAAGTGATTCTCCAGAGTTCAAGTTACTTATTATAAAAGTTTGAAATTTTTGGTAGCTTTTTTTCTGTTAATAAAAATAAATTTAATCTGTTCGGTTAACGAATCTCCATAAAATGACGTGTAAAATTACAATTTTTTAAAATTTCAATAACTTTTTAACGGTTTAGTGAATCGATTTGTAATTTTTACAGGAATTTTAGAATTGAATGAGGAACATTCTTCCAAATTTTTATTTGTCTCGTAGCATTTTGACATACCTCCCAAACATCCTTAAACCTACCTCTAACTATTCTGTTCCTGTATACCTTCGACATATGGATTAAACAGTAGCCTAATTATTTTCCTAATATTTAGGTATTTGTCTACATTGCTACTCAATTCTGTACAATACAAATTATATATCCCTATTCCATCCCTTTATTTCATCCCTTTAGGTTCTCTTCATTGTTACTCAAAATATGTACAATACAAATTATATATCCCTCTTCCATCCCTTTATTTCATCCCTACAGGTTTAAGTAGGTATATCAAGAAAAAATTACCTGATAAATTGATACACAAAGGCAGAAGCTTATTATAAGCACTTGAATTAAAAATTTTAGGCTTTTCAGCCTACCACACGACAACTCACTATTCGTCATGCCGACGTTAGTTTATCTGGTGTATCTTTTAAGTTGGCACGTTTGATTTTCTCTTTTTAGTTTACTGCCCGTTATTACAGTGCGAAATGCGAGTTAGGGCGGCTTTCGGTAAAAGCAACGGGAATCTATCGAAAACTCATTAAGAATTATCTGCAGGTTTATAACACTAATACGTCCGTTATTAAATACCACTAAAACGAAAAGACTTTGTTGATAATACCTTATTACAATTGATTTACTGCATTTAATTTTGTCGACAGTTTAATCTGGGTTTCGTCGATGGGAACATAAAAAATCGACCAACTAATTCATGAGCACTAACGAATATTGCTTTCAGTTTTCCGTTTTCATTTGCTAGTATCTTTTAAAACGTTTAATTAATGTAGAATAAAATTAAATTAAACCATCATCATTATAAGTACTTCCTCTCGAATAATATTTCGTCAGAGAAGAATTGTAATAAATATTTCTGACACTCATATCATCATCATAAGGTCGTTAGTCCTAAGACTGGTTGGACTCACGCCTCAAAAAAAAAAAAAACTTTTGAGTGTTTCATTCCCACCAGCCAGTAATGCTGGTGGGCGGGCAGTCCCTCCGGACTACGCCGGAAGGTAGGCGGAAGGCCCTCTTCAGCCTGCTTTCAGGAATCTTGGGAATGGGTGGGTGGTGGTTCGGGTGAGAAAGATGAGACGGACGAAATGAAGACAGAAGAGAATGAAAGATTATCTGTCGAATATTACTGCCTCAGCATTTACCTAAGTGATCCAAGGAAACCACAGAGAAACTTGGACCAAGGCAGACGGACCCGGAATCGAACCGGCGTCCTCCCGAATGCTAAGCAATAGTCTAAACCTCTAGGCAATGCCGCTCGGTGTCACACCTCCACTCTTTTCTATCCTAAGCTAATCTTCGCATCTTCCCAAAACTAGAACAACCCACATCTTCTGTTTATTGAAGGCGACTCGACCCTGCGCTATTCTATGCTTTATATCCCTACTACTCCTTCCGTCCTGACTTATCTCACTTAGCCTAAAATCTTCTAATTTTTCGTTTCCATTCTTACGCTCTTTCCCTACTATTTCCTTACTTTTTCTTCCCTTGCACACCAGTATCTTTGTTTTACTTTTGTTTATTTTCATACAATACTGTTTTGTCAATACCGCTTCCATTTTATTTAAAGCTATCTCTAACTCCTCATTGCTAGATGCTAATACTGCTATATCATCTGAAAATCTAAGCATACGAATCCTTTGTCCCTGTATATCTATCCCTACAGTTCTACTGTCTTTAATGATGTTGATGGATATTAAAAACTAGCGATGACAGTTTGCATCCCTGTCTGATTCCCTTCCTAATATCTACTTCTCTACGTTGCAACCCCAGCTCTATAACTGCCTGTTGCTCTTTATACAAACTAAGTATCATTCTTCTATCTCTGTAACTTATCCCTACATTTTTAAGTATATTTAACATCTTGTTCCATTTAACATTGTCAAAAGCTTTTCCTAAATCTACAAATTCTATGCACACACTCTTTCCTTTTTGTATCGTTTTCTCTATTGTTACCCGTAAAACTAGAATGACATCCCGCGTTCCTCTATTTCTTCTAAGCTCAAATTGATCTTCTCCTAATAGTTCTTCCGCCCTTTCTTCTATCCTTCTCTGTACAATTCTAGTTAAGATTTTTGACGCATGGAAAGTTAAGCTAATTGTTCTCGCGCCTCTCTTTTTAGGTATGGTTACCACCACGTTCCATTTATAATCCTCTGGGACTTTCCCTGTCTCGTAAATGTGATTAATATACGATCTCTAACCTCTTGTCCTACATGTTTTAGAATTTCCGCCTGTATCCCATCTATACCTGGCTCCTTATTATTGTTTAAGTTTTTTAATGCTACATCAAACTCTTCTCTCATTATGGGATAACCTAGCTCACCCTATCTCCACACTATCTTCCTTCTCTAACATATCTCCTAACTCATGGCCTGCGTATAGGTTCTCTAAATATTCTTTCCACCTATCTGCCTTTCCCTCATTTTCTATCAAAATGACGCCTACACTTATGTACGCATTATTATTACAAAAGAGGAAATATTTTTTTTACTTCCGATTATTTTTGCACTTGTCGAGTTCAAATGTACAAATCGTACAAATTCAATTTATTGCTGATACGACAAACTCGCGTGGGGGCCTATAAAATATGATAAGAGATGAACTTGAGAACAAATTTCAACATTAGTACAAATATTTACTAAACGTAACTGTTACTAAGCCAATTGTATTTTAACTTTTTAGTGTTCAATGTTAAAAAGCGATAAGTTGCAATTACGACTACTACTGCTATCAGCAAACATATATCGAACGAATAAAGGCAGAATACAATTTTTTTAAAATCAATATTATGTAACAGCAATAATCTAAATACGTATTTAAATATAAAAATAATTTCATATTTAAAACATTTAAATTTGTTTTGGCGGATGCCTCACAACAACTTTGATACTTTTTGGTATTTTCAACTCGTTTAATAAGGGAAAAATTCATTTATAGAGTAATAAAAGCGACGCTATTAAATCGAGTGTTGAAAGTGCAGTCTGGTGATTTTCAACCATAAAATTCTTGTCGTTGATGTTCCACAATAACGGTATTCATTTTGATACTTTAACAGGGGAGAAATTCATTTATAAAGAAATGATAACGACTTTTTTAAATTTGGGGCTGAAAGTGCACCTCGGTAATTTCCAACTATAGAATTCTTTTTATTAATACTCCACAATAATTTTAATACACTTTGATATCTTTAGCTCGTCTAATAAGGGAGAAATGAATTTATTTAACTTGGGGGTTGAAAGTGCACCCCGGTAATTTGCAATTATAAACTTCATTTCACTCATGCCCCACAATTGGTTGCAATACACTTCGATACTTTGAGCTCGTTTAATAAGGATACAATTAATTTATAAAAGAATAAAACCTGTTTTTAAATTGGGGGGGTTAAAAGTGCAACCCGGTGACTTCCAACTAGAAAATTTTTCTCACTGATACCTTACAATTTTAATGTTGGCTTAGCAATGGAGAAATTAGTTTATCAAGAAATAAAAACGACGTTTTTAAATTGGGGGTTGATATTAGTGTATCCCGTTAATTTGATTTGAAAAGAACAATTCTGGAATAACATAGTACTGTCTACATTCATAGTCAACAACCCAAAACATTGAGAGAAAACTTCGTAGATTATTACTTCAAAGTAAAACAGTAACGATTTTGTTGTATAATTAATAAGAAAAAATTAAGAAAAAATGTTAATTAAAATCCTACTTTTTTCCATAAGTATGAAGTTTTCTCCAAACTATTCTAATCACGGCGGCTTGTAAAAGATTTTTCTTCAAAAGCATATTTTAGACGTACATCAAAACCAGATTGGTTATTTCCGAAAGGTACACACCAGAAAATATCGATATTTACGAAATTTCGAAATTTTACAGTAAGATTACGCATCCTTATATTTTCTTTCAGTCCCTCAATCCGGAATTGTATGTGTGTATAGGAGTGTGTTGGATCAAAAAACTGAAAATAAAAAAGAATTGCATAATTTTGCATAATTTTCGTAACAATATAATCAAAACTAGCATGAAGGTTTACAGCCCCTCTACCACAATTTCACTAAAGAAAAATGGTATATTTATCGTACATTATGACAGTAGTTATTTCATCTTTTTTTTTTCTTCATCATAAGGTCGTCAGTTCTAAGACTGGTTGAACACGGACTTCCACTCTTTCATATCCTGAGCTAATCTTCGCATTTCCCTAAAACTAGAACAACCCACATCCTTAACTATTTGCAAGCAGTAATCTAATCTAATCTAGGTCTACCTCTACTCCTCTTAACTCCTGTTTCTGCCTCTAATACGTCTCTGATTAGACCTTCATGCCTGAGAAGGTGTCCTACCAACTTATCTCATTTATTGACATTAGCCCTCTGTTCTCCTATTCTTTCTAATTCTGTTCTCCGTTCGCTTCTTTTTTTGAAGGCGACTTGACCCTGCTCTATTTTCTGCTTTATATCCCTACTACTCCTTCCGTCCTGACTTATCTGACTTCCTAGATACTGATAATCAGCCACTTCTGCTAATTTTTCGTTTCCTATCTTTATATTCACTTTTTCCTTACTTTTTTTTTTTCTTGCATATCAGTATTTTAGTTTTACTTTTATTTATTTTTATACAATACTGTTTTGTCAATACCGCTTCCATTTTATTTAAAGCTATCTCTAACTCCTCAATTCACATAAGGCGT